TGGGGGGTTGTGTTGGCCATGGCTTAGGAGTGGGAGGGTGTGTTGGCAATGGATTATAAATGGGGGGTCGTGTTGGCCATGGCTTAAAAGTGGGAATGGGTAGTGCTGGCCATGGCTTATAAGTTGGTAGGTGAGCCGTCGCAAAATTACTCCAGGTTTGTGATGTTGGAGAACCCCTTCCCAATGTGTTTGCGCCTGTGTGGACCAGGATCCAGTCATAGAAGTGCTGAGTGGAGGTGTAGACTCCAGGCTGCCTTGCTCTGGCACAGCCTTTTCCCCAGCTGGTCAATCCGACAACCCACCAGGAGTCTGCATTGTTGTCCTGGCACATGAGAGGACCACCGCTGTCACCCTGCAGCAGAGCACAGAGCATTAAGGGGGTGTTGGTGGCACCTGCCAGCACTGGGGCTGTCTGCTTCTCTCTCACATCCCCTCTGGGCAGAGGAATGGTCTGCTCAGGGGCTGGAACGTCCAGAAGCTTGGCTGTGAATGACTTGGGTTCTTGTAGGGTAGGGTTCTCTCTGTCATCTCTGCACAGGGCTCCTGGATGTGCAGAGGATGGATGTTTGGCACAAGGGGACCTCTGGGCTGCCAGGAACACTTTAATGGGCTGTCTGGGCTTTTGGCACAAGGGGAGCCCTGGGCAGGCAGGGGTGGATGGGGAGTGTGTGGGAAGCCCCCAGAGCAGGTGGGGGTGAGCTGGGGCTGGGAGGGCGACTGAGTGGCCGGGCAGAGCAGGCCCTGGGCTGTGTTGGGGTGGTGCTGCCCGGGCTGCCAGAGCTGCTGAGGGCTGAGTGGCTCGTGGCATGCTCCTTCTTACCTGGCAGGTGTCGATCTTGCCCTGTGGGTATCCAGCACACAAGTTGTGGGTGTGGATTTCTCCTGCATACCAGTCACTGCTGTTACAGAGCTGGACATTGATGAGCTGGACCTTGGCCTCCTGAAGCTGATCAGCTGAATCTTGAGCTGTGAGCAGAGAAAGAAATAAACTCTGAGCACCACATTTCCCATTCTCCTCTACTGTCTTGGGAAGGGCATTCTCTTCCCTAGTGTTTGGCTTTGCCTCTGCAGAGGCACTGGGGCACTGTGTCCCTGCGTTTGGGGAGCAGACCAGGCCTGTCTCTGCAGAGGTGTATATCCTGCAGCCTGGCTTTGGCCTCTGCTATGAGGGGAAACCCAAATCCTCTCCCCAGTTTGCTGAGTTGGCCCAGAAGTTGCTCTTGGTACTCACCTCTTGCAGCAGTGGCACCCCAGCCAGCCACCCAGCAGTTCTGCAGCTCTGACACTTTCAGTGTGATGTCAGGCACACAGGCCAGCTGGATGTAGGGGCTGCACTGGACAGGATGGTCCAATTCCATCAGGGCAATGTCGTAGCTCATGTCAGCAGGATCGTAGTATGGGTGTATAACCACCTGCTTGACACTGCGCACTTGTGCCCCATGTCCTGGCTGAGTCAACTGGGTGGCCCCAATCACCACGGACATCAGGCTGACGTTACTGCAAAGGAGATGGAGAGAGGGCTGAGAGGGAGCAGAGCCACAGTGCCACAGCAGCCC